TACTACTACTACTACTACTACTACTACTACTACTACTACTACTACTACTACTACTACTACTACTACTACTACTACTACTACTACTACTACTACTACTACTACTACTACTACTACTACTACTACTACTACTACTACTACTACTACTACTACTACTACTACTACTACTACTACTACTACTACTACTACTACTACTACTACTACTACTACTACTACTACTACTACTACTACTACTACTACTACTACTACTACTACTACTACTACTACTACTACTACTACTACTACTACTACTACTACTACTACTACTACTACTACTACTACTACTACTACTACTACTACTACTACTACTACTACTACTACTACTACTACTACTACTACTACTACTACTACTACTACTACTACTACTACTACTACTACTACTACTACTACTACTACTACTACTACTACTACTACTACTACTACTACTACTACTACTACTACTACTACTACTACTACTACTACTACTACTACTACTACTACTACTACTACTACTACTACTACTACTACTACTACTACTACTACTACTACTACTACTACTACTACTACTACTACTACTACTACTACTACTACTACTACTACTACTACTACTACTACTACTACTACTACTACTACTACTACTACTACTACTACTACTACTACTACTACTACTACTACTACTACTACTACTACTACTACTACTACTACTACTACTACTACTACTACTACTACTACTACTACTACTACTACTACTACTACTACTACTACTACTACTACTACTACTACTACTACTACTACTACTACTACTACTACTACTACTACTACTACTACTACTACTACTACTACTACTACTACTACTACTACTACTACTACTACTACTACTACTACTACTACTACTACTACTACTACTACTACTACTACTACTACTACTACTACTACTACTACTACTACTACTACTACTACTACTACTACTACTACTACTACTACTACTACTACTACTACTACTACTACTACTACTACTACTACTACTACTACTACTACTACTACTACTACTACTACTACTACTACTACTACTACTACTACTACTACTACTACTACTACTACTACTACTACTACTACTACTACTACTACTACTACTACTACTACTACTACTACTACTACTACTACTACTACTACTACTACTACTACTACTACTACTACTACTACTACTACTACTACTACTACTACTACTACTACTACTACTACTACTACTACTACTACTACTACTACTACTACTACTACTACTACTACTACTACTACTACTACTACTACTACTACTACTACTACTACTACTACTACTACTACTACTACTACTACTACTACTACTACTACTACTACTACTACTACTACTACTACTACTACTACTACTACTACTACTACTACTACTACTACTACTACTACTACTACTACTACTACTACTACTACTACTACTACTACTACTACTACTACTACTACTACTACTACTACTACTACTACTACTACTACTACTACTACTACTACTACTACTACTACTACTACTACTACTACTACTACTACTACTACTACTACTACTACTACTACTACTACTACTACTACTACTACTACTACTACTACTACTACTACTACTACTACTACTACTACTACTACTACTACTACTACTACTACTACTACTACTACTACTACTACTACTACTACTACTACTACTACTACTACTACTACTACTACTACTACTACTACTACTACTACTACTACTACTACTACTACTACTACTACTACTACTACTACTACTACTACTACTACTACTACTACTACTACTACTACTACTACTACTACTACTACTACTACTACTACTACTACTACTACTACTACTACTACTACTACTACTACTACTACTACTACTACTACTACTACTACTACTACTACTACTACTACTACTACTACTACTACTACTACTACTACTACTACTACTACTACTACTACTACTACTACTACTACTACTACTACTACTACTACTACTACTACTACTACTACTACTACTACTACTACTACTACTACTACTACTACTACTACTACTACTACTACTACTACTACTACTACTACTACTACTACTACTACTACTACTACTACTACTACTACTACTACTACTACTACTACTACTACTACTACTACTACTACTACTACTACTACTACTACTACTACTACTACTACTACTACTACTACTACTACTACTACTACTACTACTACTACTACTACTACTACTACTACTACTACTACTACTACTACTACTACTACTACTACTACTACTACTACTACTACTACTACTACTACTACTACTACTACTACTACTACTACTACTACTACTACTACTACTACTACTACTACTACTACTACTACTACTACTACTACTACTACTACTACTACTACTACTACTACTACTACTACTACTACTACTACTACTACTACTACTACTACTACTACTACTACTACTACTACTACTACTACTACTACTACTACTACTACTACTACTACTACTACTACTACTACTACTACTACTACTACTACTACTACTACTACTACTACTACTACTACTACTACTACTACTACTACTACTACTACTACTACTACTACTACTACTACTACTACTACTACTACTACTACTACTACTACTACTACTACTACTACTACTACTACTACTACTACTACTACTACTACTACTACTACTACTACTACTACTACTACTACTACTACTACTACTACTACTACTACTACTACTACTACTACTACTACTACTACTACTACTACTACTACTACTACTACTACTACTACTACTACTACTACTACTACTACTACTACTACTACTACTACTACTACTACTACTACTACTACTACTACTACTACTACTACTACTACTACTACTACTACTACTACTACTACTACTACTACTACTACTACTACTACTACTACTACTACTACTACTACTACTACTACTACTACTACTACTACTACTTGAGAACGGTTTTATTCACAACACCATGAAGTAAGAGTCAAAGCAAAAAGACAACCCAATTTCGGAATAAAATAGAACACTCAATTGAAATATAAAACTTTGAACTCAAAAGCTTCACACGAAATCATCACCTGATAACAATGCCTACGGGCATGCAAAGGCGAACGGTCAGAGCTCTGGCCGTGTCAGCAGAGCCGGCGGCAATAAGCTGCAAAGGGGCTCCCGACCCTGCGGCGAATGTAAGAGGCCCTACAGCCCCTGAAGCACGTGACTGCCCATCGCAGCAGGCAAAATGAAACTCGGGTGCGTAACTCACCCATCACAGCAGAATATACCAAGTCTTTGTTTTTGTCTACAACGAGAGCAGCTAGCGACTTCAGAAATATAGAAGTTTCCTTGCCCGCCACACCCGAGGTCGAAAACACCAGTGGGGTGAATGATGCCCTCTCGACCTGGTTGACTCTGGCACCATACGCCGCCTTCTTCATTCTCTCATGTGTTCTCAGGTGGCTAAGGATTTCCGGACGAGACAGCAAGGACGGCCCAAGGTCAGTGACCCTTACATCTGTTCTCAGGTGGCTAAGGATTTCCGGACGAGACAGCAAGGACGGCCCAAGGTCAGTGACCCTTACATCAAAATAGGCGTCCTGCTGCCGCGACCAGAAACCCCTAGCCCGTATGTCCAGGCGTGCCTCTGGCTGACGATTCGCGGAGACGGCAGAGATGTCCTCACCGTGTAGCGGGAGCAGATGTGGCTCAACCTCCACATCGGGCAGTACCTCCTGCAGCACTCCCGCCAGGAGGTCCCGAAGCTCGTTATGGCGAGCCGACGGATAGCCGCCGGTCGGGCACGTGAGGGCGTGGTGGGTGGTCATGGACTTCCCACAGACACAATGATCACTTACACCGTCCAGTGGGAGACCATATCGTATGCATAGCGCATCTCTAAAATCCGATTTCTCATCCGCTACTGCGAGCAGCTGTCGCTGGACAGGTGAAAGCCCCTCAGCCAACTCCGTCTGCATCCGCCGGCATCCACCGATTTTTTCATGGCGCTTTTGTCGGGCGATGCCTCGTGCCTCGCCAACGGCTTCTTGAACAGGATTGGCCATGCCCTCTGCGATGGCCACGATGCTCTGCGTGTTTTGGTCCGGACTGATGGCTGGAGAGTCTTGGACGCTCATGTTACGGTGGGCGTCGATCAGGTTCACCATTGACGCCGTGATGGCAAGTGATGCTTGATGGTCTGCCTCTGCAGACTTTGCTACCATCGGGATAGCCAGGCCCCCCCGAATCTTGTCGGGAGGGACAGAAGCTTTCTCAGCGAGCTGTCAGCTGCCATTCCCTGGCCCAAAAGAGCAGGAAGAAAATGGTAATCCAATGCCTCATCTAGAGGGGCCAGGGTGACAGAGTTTATCGATGAGGCTCTCAAATGATACGACCATTTGGACGATAAGCCCTTTGTTAGCACAGTGTAGGCGGCCTGGGGTTGCATTTCGGCCATTGCAGTGAGATTCATCAGCTCCCGTCGCCAGTTGTTGACGTACCTGTCTCCGACACGATGGCAATAATCTTCATCGCCAATGATCCCACCAAGATATTGATGACCCGCCGCCGTGACGCAGACTCCCGTCCCCTGGAACACTTCCTCAGCCCGGTCCAGGTACTGAGGCTTCACCAGGAGAGTTGTCTTGGTGGGATTGGGATTGTATCCATACTCGG